ATAGTATTTCACCTCTGTGGTCTTCCTATCCCCAATCCTGTAACTTCTGCCCCAAACAGACAAACAAAACAACAATGCCAGAGCGAGAGCAGAAGACACAAGACCAATAGAAATGAGTATCTGAATAGAAAAAGGAGTCAAGGTCGTTTCTGAGACTAAGGGTCTTGCCAGCCTGGGAGAATCTGAGATTAGACCCAAATGACTGGCCCAGTTTCTCCTTCTCCCAGGGTCTCTGAGGGGGAAGTCGTGGGGAGGGAATCAGAAGAACGGAAGGGAAGGAAAATGTAATGGAGGCTAGGGAGGAGAAAAAAGAGAGATACAAAGGGAGGATAAGAAAAAAAGGGCAGTAACGCCAGCAAGGGGATGGGAGGGGACAGGAGAGAGAGAAGGGGGGCGAGGGGAGAGAAAGGACAGGACTGGGGCAACCTGGAACGGTACCATGGCTTCTCCCCCTAACGCCAAGCAAAACCCTATGGCAAAGTTAAGAGGTAACTCACCTGGAAAACTGTGATTACCCCCACGGACTAAGAAATGGAGCGCCGCCGCCGGCCTAGAGAGGCCGACGGAATCCCCGAGCGCTCGGCGATCTACTCTAGGACCCCGGAGGCTTCCCTCTCAGTGGTTCGTGAGCTCACGTGAATGGAGGGTGTGAAGCAAGGGGTTCTCGTTATTCCCTAGAAGACGTTTTACGCCTTTTCTTTCCTTTAATCCTGTAGGGGCAACACTAACCCGTCCCCCTCCATCTATAACATTGAGAAGCAAGGGAAACCTCTGAGGCCAGACCACTGATAACAGCCCCTATGATGTTACTCATGGAGCCTTCAGAAGACTATAGAATGCCAAGTCCTGAGTGCAGCCTCTCCGCCTGGCAACAGGCCTCCCTCCCCTCCAGCAGTGCTGTTCCCACTCCCAGTACTGGCAAGGGATCCGCGCTGGCTCCAGCTGCTCCCAGCAGGCCAGGCTGGAGACCATCAAAACGGACTTCTCTAAAAAACGCAGACGCTCAACTTTCCGCTCAGCTTTTCTATAATCCGTGCCTGCAATTCACTGATTCCCTTGAAGAGCTCTTCTTTAGGAATTCTTCAGTAAAAGAAACATTCTTTTACTTAATGACAGACAGTATAGCACAATGACTAATAGAGGGGGGAGGGGGAGGGGACACACACACACACACACACACACACACACACAGAGAGGTGGGGCTAGTTTGAGATAACATGCTGGTCTGCTAAGGGAATTTCCCTACCATTGCCTCGGAATGAACACATTCTGGAGGGGAGTCACTAAGGAACTGTACCAAAGTTGCTGAAGGCCTGGCCTTAGTATGCATGAAAATGACTGATAAATGGAAAGTTGACAACTTATTGGCAAGTTGAAATAAATTATTCTACGTTCAAAACAAAATGCCATAGGCACAAGAAATGGAGGTGGAAGAATCTAGAGTCTAAATTCTTTTTTTTTTTTTTTTTTTTTTGTGGTCGGTTGTGGGGCTTGAACTCTGGGCTTGGGCGCTGTCCCTGCGCTCTTCAGCTCAAGGCTAGCACTCTATCGCTTGAGCCACAGCACCACTTCCATACAATCCAAATTCTTCTGCCCTGTTATTTTCAGTTTCTTCCCTTTCATTTGGAAAAGTGAGGTGAAGGTCTGATGGGCAGCCAGTGATGCCAAAATTACCAGGAATGCATCTGTAGTTATGACTAGAGGTAGACAGCAGGAAAAGCCAAGGTTACAGTCCTGAGGGGAAATGCAGTCTCAATTTCTTGCAACAATACATTGTGAGAAAAATTTTCCCCACCCTGGGGAGGGCCCTGGTGGCTCACACCTGAAATTCTATTTAGGGGGCTGAGATCTGAGGATCACTCTTTGAAGTCAGCCCTGAGAGAAAGTCTGAGACTCTTCTCTCCAATTAGCCACCAAAAAGCCAGAAGTGGAGCTGTGGTTCTAGTGGTAGTGCACTAATCTTGAGCAAAAAAGCTCAGGGACAGTGCCCAGGCCCTGAGTTCAAGGCTCAGGACTGGCATAAAAAGAAAAAGAAACAACAAAAGCATTTGGGAAAAAAAAGCTTTTGGAAAGTTGCATTTGGGCATAATCCCCACCCTACCATGATTTGCCCCTGAGAACCCTGCCCACATTCCATCCTTGTGGCTTTAGTAACGGGGGCAGAAGACTCTCAGAACTTCCGGGACAGGACCTGCTTTCATTTAGGGCTGCTGTTCTTCTACCCAAGGCTTGCAGTTACATTCCAACATGCCTATGAGACTTCAGCAAGGCCCTGTTTTCCTGTTGAAACTGATTTTTGCTTTCTGAGTTTTTACTCAGAAAGTAAATGTCATAAAATATAAAGGCATTACAGGTGGAAAACATCTGTTTGGGATTCTACAAATTCCTCCAGAGCCACAGGGTCTCAGGTCTTCAAAAAGCAACCTTGGTATGTACCCTGTGTGTTTTTCAAACACAATGGCCCATACAGGAGTTCAGGATTTTCAGAACAGGCGTAGTTATTGCAAAAGCTCACAGGCTACTAATTTATGTAAAAAACTAACTCAAGACATTATAGCTGCTTTGGGTATACAAAGGGAATAATCCTAATATGAAATATTAGAAAGGAATAATCCTAATATGAAATATTCAGGTGGACTTATGTAGTTTGAACTCATCGTATGGCAGAACATGAATTAAAAACTGCAGAATGAAGGTCAGACCTTGGCACGTGACCAAATATACAAGGAGAAAAACTTCAGGAAACCTATATTCTATTTCCACTTGAACCACTAGCAACAGTTAAATCATATGCCTCCCCAGGCTTCCATTTTTAGAAATGTTAAATGACACCCAAAGGTATTATTTTTAAACTATGACCATTTAAACACAGTGGGCAATGGTGTTCTTTGGGGGCATTACATACCAAAGCCACGATTTCTAACTCTGGGATTGATCCCTTTAAAATTGAAAAAGTATGACTGATTTGAAATTTTTTTTTTTTTTTTTTTGAGACAGAGTCCTGCTATGTAGCCCAGGCTGGTCTTTAACTCCCTATGCTTCTTTCTGCCTCTGATCTAATAGTCCAGCTAAGATTAAATTATTTTTAATGGCTTACTTAATATTTAGGGAATCACATTTCCTCTGACACATGTGCTTTCTAAGTAACCTTTACTAAGAATGAAAACTTTATGGGAATGGTTTATATTGCAAATTAAAACTGGTTTAAAATGAGAGAATTAGTAACTATTCTTTTGTACTAACTGCACAAAGGGCAGTTGAGATTTAGCTTTTGTCCCCAAAGCAACATCTTTGATACAACTCCTCAACCCTTGCTATAGCTCTCAGAGTTTTACCTCTAATTCCATGAAAATGAGCCAAGATATAAAAGGCTAAAACTAGATTTGTATTCCAGCAACACTTGCCATATAGGATGGTGGAAAAGCAACCTTAACCTTACTGAAATGTATAATTATTATGTACCTAAAAAAAGCATTAAAAAATCCAACATGCTAATATACATGTTACAGTGAACTCTAAACATTATGGGTTTGTTTTTTTAAATAATCTCTTTTTTTTAATCGGAGTGGGATTTGAACTTAGTAGATGACACTTTCTCTCACTGGCTAGCACTTTATCAACTGAGCCATGCCTCTATACTGTCTTTAATAATCTTAACACTAAGCACATATACTTAGGATTCTGTTAAAGGCTGGTATGGTTAATGTCTCCAATTGTAATGCTAGTATTTCTCTTCTTTCTTCTATTTTGAATATATTTAGACCACACACTCTCCACCTTCAACACTTTGGGGCTGGGTAATTGCTGTGGAGGCTGTCCTGTGCATGCAGGATGGTTAGCAGCATCTTTGTACTTTATTGACTAAGTAACAGTATCTTAGTTGTCCACTCAAAAATGTCACCAGACATTTCTTCCAAGCGTAACTCAGATACAAAATTCTATTCTTTGTTTGATAAAAGTACTTGGGCTTGAATTTAAGAGCCGTGAGTGGCTTTTTTATTCACAGCTGGTACTTTACCAATTGAGGCATACCTCTAGGTCCACAAATTCTATTCATAAACATTGTGTAACTTTAACAATTAAAAACAGTACTTTCTAATGTTTTTTATTTTTTTAAAAATTCATAAATAGGGGCTGGGAAAGTGGCTCAGTGGTAGAGTGCTTGCCTTGCATGCATGAGGCCCTGGGTTCGATTCCTCAGCACCACATAAGAAAAAAGCCGGAAGTGGCACTGTGGCTCAAGTGGTAGAGTGCTAACCTTGAGCTGAAGAGCTAAGGGACAGCGCCCAGGCCCAGAGTTCAGGCCCCACGACCAGACCTCCCCCCCCCCCAAAAAAAATTCATAAATAAATCTGGCCAAGCAAACAAAGAGCTTCAAAGTTCAAATTTGGAAACATACCCCTTTAGATCTGTTTTTTCTTTTTGATCTATTCTTAAGTATAAACAAATCTTGATGGAAATAGGTCTGTACTTTTATTTTTTGTTAGTTGTGGGGCTTGAACTCAGGCCTGGGTGCTGTCTCTGAACTTTTTTGCTCAAGGCTAGCACTCTACTACTTTGAGCCACAGCTCTACTTCCAGTTTGTTTTTTGTTTTGCTTTTGGTCAGTTGTGGGGCTTGAATTCTGGGCCTGGGTGCTATACCTCAGCTTTTCAGCTCAAGGCTAGTGCTCTACCACTTGAGCCACAGCACCACTTCCAACTTGTTCTGTTTATGTGGTGCTAAGGAAATTGAGCCCAGGGCCTCATGAACCACTGACCTACCTTCCCAGGCCCCACTTCAGTTTTTTGGTGGTTAACTGGAGGTAAGAGTCTCAAGGACTTCTCTGCCTGGGCTGGCTTTGAACTGTGATCCTCAGATCTCAGCCTCCTGAGAAGCTAGAACTCCAGGCATGAGCCATTGGTGCCTGGGTAGGTTGTACTTTTGAGCATATAAAGTGATCGAAGGCAGAAAACTGCTTAAAATTTCTATAGATAATGCCACAAATAATCCACACAATAATTCAACAAGCATTTTATTAAACGCCTACAATGTGCTCAGCACTGTACTAGGCACTAGAGGGTGCAGTGATACAAATGTCAAAGTTATTTCTGCTCTCAAGGAGCTTACAATTTAAGTTTTGAAATAAATACAAATGTGAAACTACAACAGACTGCTAGAAAATAATCACAGAGTAACATTTTGGTAAGTGCATGGATCACAGTACAAACTCAAAAGATAAGTGCTGAGACAGCACAGAATAAGAGAGGGCTCTGTGTGAAGCAAAGGCAGTCAGGGACAGCTCACTCAGGAGATACAAAGAAATCTAGGTTTTACAGGGAGTGATGAACACGAGTTAGGCCAAAGAATGATCTAAGCAAAATAGAACAGCATGAGAAAGGCACAGAGGTGGGGCCTGTAGAAAGGCTGTAGGATGCATGAATGCAATGAATAAAGGTGAGCAGGCTGATGTTGGACAGTAATGAAGATTGAGGCAGATTAAGCATGGAAGGCAAGGTATGGGAGAACTTGAAACACCTCTGCTTTGATAAGAATTACCTGCCAGGTGTTGAGGAAAAATGAGATACCATGAAAATAGTTTGACTTGTCATTTTGGAAGATTTATCCAACACAGGGTTTTTGAGAGCAAGAAAACTGGAAAGAAAAAAAAATACAACCATCTAGGCGTTAAAAGATACAGATTTGCATGGAAGACTGTAGGGGATGGTAACAATGTAACACATCAAGACTCAAGAGGAAGACTAAGAATTAGATCAGCAAAATTTTGGACATGAAGTGTGGAGAGCAGAAAAAGATGAAAAGGTAACTTCAAGATTGGAATGAAAAATGCAAAAGGTATTGAGCGTTCCTGCTACTTTATTTGAAAGTTAACTGGAGATCAGGGAAAAAGAGCGACAAGCTTTGCTTTAAATACCAGGTTGTATAAGAACCTGTGGAAAATTCCACAAGTTCAGATATGACACATATGGTAGGAAATACGAAGTCACTCAAATATAAAAAGTAGACAAATGAATAGGTAGGAATACAGAAAAAGTAGTGGGCAAAAATAAGATACAGAGATTATTATTGGTATATAAGAGGGAAAAAAAGACTAGAAAAGCCAGATAGTAGAGAAAAATGGCCTAACAGGATTTCATAAGCTAAAGGAAAAAAGAAATCCTGAGGTGCAGAAGGAATTCAACAATATGAAATATAAATGAAATTGCAGAGGACAGGAATGAAACTAAGCAAGGAAGATCTTGCCTGTAATCCCAGTAGTTGGGAGGCTAAGGCAGGAAGATTGTGAATTTGAGGCTGTGGGCTACACAGTGAGTTCCAGATCAGCCTGGACTACATAGACTCTATCTCAAAAAACCAACCTGCCTTCTCTCCCCTCAAAGTCTTAATACTACTTACTGGCATTCTAAGGACATTTCAATGCTGAGTATGAAAATTAGTAAGGAGCCGAGTGCTCGCACCTGTAATCCTTGATACTCAGGAGGCTGAGACCTGGAGAACTGAAGTCTGAAGTCAGCTCGGGCAGAAAAGTCTGAGACACTCCATATCCATGAACTAGCCAAATACTGGACTGGAGGTGTGGTTCAAATGGTAGAGTGCCATTTGTGAGCAAGAAAGCGGAGTGGGAGCATAATGGCCTGAGTTCAAGCCCTATTCACAATACAAGAGAAAATTAGTAAGAAGTTTTAAGAATGAAGACAATGTGGTAAATTAGATGATGCATTTGAAAGACCAAGCATAATAGAGAAGAAATGGGACTGTTATTGGAAATGGGTGGAGAGGCTGAAGAGCTCATATTTTAGGCTATAAATTAACTTACTATTATTGTATTAATTGTCCATTTGCCCAGAGAGGATCAGAGATATTTCATGTCTTTTCACAATTTACTTTTCTCTAGTCAGTTTAGAAAGTAAATGTATTTCAATTTGTAAGTTATTTTTTTATCCTCACATTACTCTTTTATAGGTTTTATTTATATGATTTAGCTATCTCATACTGAAAAGCATCAAAAGCACCAATAGTTGAAAATGATAAAACCCAAAGTGCTATTTTCAAGTAATTGAAATAGATCTGTACTATCTTGTACATTATCTTACTCAGGGATACATAATGGCTGTCCAGAGTTATGATATGTTCATTATACATGGTATAGCATCGAGGTCAAGTGTCCAGGCTTGTGTAAGTTTAATGTTTGTTGTACCATTTACTGTCTGTGTGACATTGATCAGTTCTCAAAACAATGTTTTGCCATCTATAAATTGAATCAAATCTATCATAAGTAGCAGAAATGCTTAATGTAAGTCTGGTAGAGTTAGTGCCCCATATTATCTGGAGACTTAGAACCAAGAGTAAAGCTAAACTCTTCCATTTGGGAATCAACCATTAAATTCTCAGCATGGTTGCTGAGCCTCAGAGAAAATTCTGTGAAACCTAAGATGTCTCTCCTAGGGCTATATTTGATAGCAGTAAGAGTTATGGAAGAACCATTTTATTATGTCAGCCTCTAACTGAAGATAGAAGAAAGTTTTGGTGAATAGTTCATTGAGAGCATAAAAACATAAGGAATATAATGTATCCCTTTATAATATGAGCTCAAAATAATGTCATATAGCCTGATCAGCAATATTCTAGTGCTAAATTCTATGCAGCCTCTTTAAAAAAAATGATCATCTTTGATACCATGTTGCTATTTTGATATATATGCTGAATGAGCTTTGAAAGCCTTTAAGTGACAATCTTTTCTCACATTTATCCCAGGATAATACATATACTAGCTTGCTGCCAGAGGCTTAGTAATTTTGAGACTTTAATAATCTGGTTACACATTATGGTGGATCCTAATGCCTAAAGAGGCACTACATTTACAGACATTTCATTATGATGCACTGCTAAAATAGGTGTTTACTGGAATCGAAGGCAAGTGTTTCTTGAAAACATGAGAAAAGTGGATGTATACACACAGATGGGCACACATATTTATTTTCCCTCTGACACATTAGCCATCCTATGAAATATTTGGATATAAGGTAACAGTGGCCTCAGACAGAATTATTATCTTACAGGGGGTAAGGCACAACCCAGGCAGGGAACAAGGATTCGGGCAGTCCTAGATATACTTGTTTCTGGTTTCTTGGAAAGTCAAGTACAGGGAGTTAGAACTGCTAATCTATATGTGGGGGAGAGGGAGTAGAGGAAGAGATTAAAAGAGGGAACGAAAAAGACTCCTGTGAAAGTTAATCGAAGAAACTAGGACAAGTGATGAATAAGTACAATGGCTCAGTGAAGACTGTTTGTGATCAAAGGTGAGCCACAGGAGGTAGAGAAATGTCATCAAGAATTTATGATCCAAAAGGTGGACTCTATGAGGTAAGAATCTATGACTGATTTTATAAAACCTATCAATCATAACTATTGTCCTTTTCTGGGATAATCACAGTGTGAAATCATGTTATTTCTCTTGGAGTTTTCATGAAAACTCATAGTTTTTTTTTTCCTAATAGGCTTATGGAATAATTTCATGTGTGAGGGTTAATTCTGGAAAGCAAAGTTATTCTAAATACATGGCTAACCAATGATTAAAACCAAAATGTGATATAGGAATAGTGTTTTCTTGCAGGGTTGATAAAATAGGAATTTCCAAATATTTGGAGGAATAGCAATACTATCAAAAATAATAGTATTTTAAAATAGAACTACTCAATTTAAAGGATACCTCATTTGCAATGTATAAGATCTGACATGTTACTGGAAACTACTCTCACTCTATACTGTAACCCTTGGCATACTGAAAACCTCAAGGATGAGCTATGCCTGGTGATGACAAGTTTAATAGTGTGTCTTTGTTATGAGATTATAGACACCAGTTCTCATGGAGCACATTAGAATTCCAAACAGATCGTAGACATTAATGTTGTACAAATGAATGGCAAAAAACAGATGGAAAATGATCAGTGGCCATGTAAGAACGTAGACTGGGGTAATGACAAGAAAAACCAACTAGTTAAGATATCTGTGCAGACTGATAATAACCTGAGAGAGCAGTACTGCAGTGGCCTAAAAGGGATGACATAATTCTTTGTAAGAGTTTTATGTCTTCTTCAAGAACCCTACCCCCATCTCCTCTTTTTCCTATGTGACACCATAAGTAGGGCAGTGGAAACATCTTTTGTGCAGTGTACACAAGAAGGTGGAGGAGAATCAGAGGTAACCACCATGTACAACTATCCAAGCTCAAGAACAGCCAGGCTGAGTCTCCACTCACCTCTTTCTCTGCATCACTCTCAAAATCATCACTAATACGTCCACTTCCTTTGCTGACACAGGTACTGGGACTGGGGTGGTGAAAAATAAGGACAGATGCTCAATGACTCAGTGGCCAGTAAAAATGATGAATGAAGAAAAATGCTGGAGTGCTGTTAAAAATATAGCATTCTGAATCTGCATGGGAATATGCATTTTTCACAACTAGAAGGAATATTAGGATAAAAAAAATGAAGCACTTAAGCATAAATATGTTTAAGTGTTTGTAAAAATCTCGCTAGAACTAGGATCTTCAAAAGCTAAATACAAATATAAGTACTGAGAAGCTGCTTTGGACTTTAGAACAGCTTCTTAGATCAGACAACGAACTACAAGTGAGAGGAGAGGATCACAGGAGATGAGAGCAGAGAGGCTAGGAGCAGCAGCCTCTCAAATCTACAGCTACTCACCCAAAAGTTTAGTGCCTCAAGCCACGACAAGCAACTTGCTATAACGCTATTTTCAATTTCTAAAGGATTCATTATGCTGTCAGAAGTAGTGCTCCATCAGATACTTCCAAAAATAGTAATCAAGCTAATCAATGTACTGAGCCCAAACTACTGAAGATCTATTCTTATCTTTGACACCACTAAAGATTTGTCATTATTAGCCAATAAGCTTTCTGCCTTTTTTTTTTTTGTATTACATTGAAAGATCTTTCCAACAGTGTATGGTTTCTCTTAAGTTGAATAATCTTGAAACTATGACCAAAGCTTTTCTTAAACTCCTATAGTTTCAGATTTGTCTCCACTGTGGATTCTCTGATGTCGAATAAGACTAGACCTCTGAATAAACGCTTTCCCACACTCATTGCATTGATAGGGCTTTTCCCCTGTGTGGATTCTCAAATGTTGAATAAGGCCAGTGTTCCCATTGAAAGCTTTCCCACATTCTTTACACTTATAGGGTCTTTCTCCAGTGTGGATTCTCTGGTGTTCAATAAGGCCTGACTTCTGACTGAAGGCCCTCCCACACTCATTGCATTTGTAAGGCTTTTCCCCAGTGTGGCTCCTCTGATGACCAATAAGATGTGAACTCCGCCTGAAGGTTTTCCCACACTCATCACACTCATAGGGTTTCTCCCCAGTGTGGATTCTTTGATGTCCAATGAGGTGTGAGCTATGACTGAAAGCTTTCCCACATTCATTACATTCATAGGGTCGTTCCCCACTGTGGATTCTCTGGTGCAGAATAAGGCCCGCACTCTGACTGAAAGCCTTTCCACACTGATTACACTGATATGGCTTCTCCCCAGTGTGGATTCTCTGGTGCAGAATCAGGCCTGTGTTTTGACTGAAGGCTTTACCACATTCCTTACAGTGATAGCGTTTTACTTTGTTGTGGATATCCTGATGGGAAAGAAGGGCTGACCTATAACTGAAGGCTTTCCCACACACATTACACTGATAGGGTTTCTCCCCAGTGTGTATTCTCCAGTGGCGAACAAGGCCTGAGCTCTGAGCAAAGCTTTTTCCACATTCATCACATTTATGTCGTCTTTCTTGTGTGGGATTTCCCCGCTGCCTCTCTAATCTGCCCAAAGGGTCTCGGGCTTCTCCTTGCTTAAGACCCCCGATAACATCCCCGTTGCATTTGGCAGCTGTCTCTCCATGTGGTTGGGTTCCAGGAGATATTACCTGTTTTGAAGCTAATTCCTTGTTCTCATTCCTGGTCTCACCGCCTGAAATAAAAACAATACACATGCCAGGCACTGGTGACTCACACCTGTAATCCTAGCCACTTTGGAGGCTGAAATCTGAGGATCACGGTTCTTAGCCAGACGAAGCAGAAAAGTCTGTGGGACTCTCATCTCTAATTAACCACCACACTGGAAATGGAGCTGTGGCTCAAAGTGGTAAAGTGATAGTCTTGAGAAAAAAGCTCAGGGACAGCACCTAGGCCTTGAGTTCAAGCTCTATGACCATTAAAAAACAAACAAACAAACAAAAGAAAACCACACATCAAGCCAATGTCACTTCCTAGTGTCTATACTAGTAGAAAATAAATGAAGATAGGGGAAAAGGAAAGTACACATATAACAGCTGAAATACACAAAAAATGTCTATCTTCAAAATGGCTTCATAACAGAGGGAGATATAATAGAGGCTACGTGGGGGGAAAGGGCCATGATAAGGGGGGCTACTGAAGGAGGGCTAATGTGGGAAGGGCTCCTCTTTGAGGTAGAAGCTGGAGAATGGGAAGGAATATGAAACTACGAAAACTTAGAACTTGTAGTAAATTTAAGACAGAAATGGGTAATGCCCTGAAAAAAGGAAGAAGCATTACAGGCTTAGTTAAAAAAAAAAAAAAATCTACGTAAGGATCCTATGGGAACTAGAGAGATATCAATTTCCAACTGGCAAACAGAATTAACACTCACATATAAAGTGTAAGGAATTCCTAGGTTGGAAAACAAAGTAATTGGTTTAGACCTCAAGAAATCTCAACTCTGTGTCTCTCTGTTGGACTCTGAATTTAAACTTAACTATATCTTCCATAAAGTTCATAGCTACCATTTACATAACAAACAAAAGTTCTTATATTGTAATAAACACAGCTCTCCTTACCCAGGGAGAACATATTCCTGTAATTCTCTGGCCTGTTATCTCTATTTGGATCAAGAAGCCACTCCTCTTGAATAAGAGACACAGCCATGTCTTCGATCTTCTCCAAAGTCTGAAACAAAAGAAGACCCTCATTTGGGGCCTACAATTGTTTCACAGTTCAAATCCAGAGAGTCAGAAAAAACCTACTAGTATTGGGAGAGGATTAAGGTGTGGGAATGGAACATGTAAAAGGATCTAAATAGCTGGAAAGAAAAGCATTTATTGGGGTTGATCTGTCACTATAAAAAAGCATTTGGGTGTGTTCTTCAATAGATACTGCTACAGACAGTTCTGGATGTGGGGCAGATGCCCCAAATACTTCCAATAAGAGTTATAAAGTTTTAGTGTGAAGGAGCATAACTCACCTGGAACCCTGTTGTGAGGAGTGTAGCTGTCATCTCCTGGTTTCCAGAAGTTCCTTTCTGGGAAGGGGTAGGACTCTGAGAAGTAGACATGGCTGAGAGCAGAAAGAAGCTATGAATGAGACCAGCCTTGTCTTGTAGTAGTAGGAGCCAGCACTCTCCCATTCCAAATTATTTGTACTCTAACATATGTATCCAAAGGTTGTACATATAGAATGCTGACATCTTGACTCTGAGTCCTTAACTATGGCTGTCCACAGATAATCTTCACTTTGGCGTCCTTGAACTTAGTCTGAAGTTACAGTAAAAGTTACAGTTAGCTTTCCTAACAGGAACTGCTTTCCAATTGTTTTTTCTACTTCCCAAACTACTATTGTTGTACATATGTATAATATTTCTTAGGTCCTGATGTCCTAGCAAAAAGCCTTAGGAGAAATAGGAGAGAATCAACTTTTTTCTGCTAATTTAAATTACGTTCTGAAATGTCCATCATGGCTGCCAGTATCTGCTCCTAATGGATATCAGGCAACTTATTACTAAAAACAATATTATACCCATCTATCATGTGTCTTTGTGCAATAAGATTTAAAATTTCAGACAAGGAATTGTTAATTGAAAGTGCTTCTAAGCTTCTTTTTTAGAAATATTAAAAATTGGGGCTGGGAAAGTGGCTCAGTGGTAGAGTGCTTGCCTTGCATGCATGAGGCCCTGGGTTCGATTCCTCAGCACCACATAAGCAGAAAAAAAAAAGCCGGAAGTGGTGCTATGGCTCAAGTGGTAGCATGCTAGACTTGAGCTGAAGAGCTGAGGGACAGCGCCCAGGCCCAGAGTTCAGGCCCCACGACCGGACCCAAAAAACAAAAATTAAAAAAAAAAAAAAAAAATTTACTTACATAAAACAAACGAAAATACACAAGTAATACAAAATGGAGAGGAAGGTGAGAATTGGACACTATATTCTGTAAGGAAGTAAAGTAATTCTCAAAAAATGATGAGAGCTGGACACCAGTAGCACATGCCTGTAATCCTAGCAGCTACTCAGGAGGCTAAGATCTGAAGATCGAGCTTCAGAGCCCGCCTGGGCAGGAATGTCTATGAGACGCTTATCTCCAATTAATCACCAGAAAACCGGAAGTGATGTTGTGGCTCAAGCGGTAGAGCACTAGCCTTGAGCTGAAGAGCTCACTGGGACAGTGGCAGGCCCAGAATTCAAGCCACAGGACCACAAAAAAAATCAAACTGGAAGCATGGCTCAAGTGGTAGAGTACCTGCCATAAGCAAGAAAGCCGAGAATGAGGCCCTGAGTTCAAGCCCTAGTACTGGCACATGCACGTGTATGCATGCACACACATATTAAATAACAATAGGGGGAGAGGAATGCTATTTCTTAAATAACAAATCATTGTAGAAGAAACTACAGTTAGAAAATCACAGTAACTAACTAGTTACATTGAAACTAGTGCTTTAGCAACAAAAGTTTGATGAGGGCTAGGGTAACTGCCAACTCTAGATATTTCTCCAGGTTACTTATTAGTTACAAAGAGGTAAACAGTAACTTCACAATGATCAGCTGAGTAATAATAGCCTTAACTAAGTCATCAAAAATGGTATCTTAACAGGACATATTTCTAGTGTTTTCCTGACATATATACATACACAACATGAACCTAAATGAGGCAATATCAAGCAAGCCTAATTGCAGCCATCCTAAATAATTATTTTTAATTCTTCAAAAACGTCCAGATTTTCAAGGGAAAAGACTGAGGAACTACACTGATTAAGGTAACTAAGGAGATAACTAATTGCACACTGTGATCTTAGGCTAGACTCTGGACAAAAGAATACTACTGGGATAATTGGCAAAATATGGTGGAAGACTAGATTAGTATTAGATCCATATTTCATTTAATTGTGTTCATGTTATTGTGGCTATTTAAGATACAGACCCTTGTTTGAGGAAAGACACATTGAAATATTCATAAATAAAGTGGTATGATACTAGCAAAATCTCAAAAATGTCTATGTTGTAAATATGTAGGGGTAACATATATGTGTGACTACATAATTGTTTAGTTTGTTTTTCAGTTTGCCACGAGGACTAAAAGCTTATGTTTGAAGCCTAAACATTGATCAGGTAGCAGATTTATTGTCTTTCCTTTTGACTTTGCCCATCCTTAACAATGAAATCTGGCTTCTCACCACTTTCTTGAGGCTTTGGGGGCACCGGAGATTTACGCTGGGTTGCTATAGGTTGGAGGTGAGTACGTGGTGAAGATTCTGAAGGCACTATCTCTTCCCAAAGTACCCTATGGCCATGTGCACGAGCTGGGACCTAGAAAAAAAAATGGAACAGTTGGATTATATGGAATCCCTCTGAGAAATGAAGTGAACAAATCTAATGGCCAACAGATTATCTACAGGCATTCATGTTAGGGAAGCAAGCAGCAAAATCTCCTTTATTTCTTAAGGGGCAGAAGGAATATGAACAAGTCAAGTGGGCCAGAAAAGCATTGTTTCTGTGTAGTGCTGGAAGAAAATTTTTCCATCTATGCCCACCCTGCTACATGGAATCCATATTTTGTGTTCCTAAGCCAGGAGAAGAGAAAGAATAACAAACAGAAACTTATAAGTAGTTCCATACAGTAGCAAAAAAAATTTTAGATCAGGAAAGTAGGAAGCCTGAGCTCTGATTCATATTCACCTTTAATTATTTAGGTGTTCCCGCAAAATAATTAGAGTTCTATATGTATCAGGTTCCTATGAACAGAACAGTAATACAGTTGTGGAGAGGCTAGGAGGACAAAAATGAACTATATCCTTAAAAAAAAAATGAATTCTACAAATATTGGATAAACCACATGATATCTATTTTTACACTCACCCAAAAGAAACCAATGCTTAGTGTTTACTCTCCTGTAGTGAGGCCACCATCCTGCTACCCAGAGTCCCACCGTCCCAGCATACATAGTCCTACTTACAGGCCGTCCCAGTATATCAATTTGCCTTTCCAAATCCTCCAATAGGGTCACCACTTCCTCTCCATTCTCTAATTGATGTTCTTTAACCAGAGCCCGAAGCTCCTCAGGTAGAATGGTCAGGAACTGCTCGAGTACCAGTAGCTCCAGGATCTGCTCCTTGGTGTTCAAGTCTGGCCTAAGCCACTGATGGCAAAGTGCCCGGAGTTGGATCAGAGCTTCTCGGGGTCCTAGTGTCTCCTGGTAACACAACTGTCTGAAGCGTTGGCGAAATAGTTCTTGGCCAGGAGGATTACTTTCATGTAGGCCAGATTCCTGGTCCCAACCATGATCTTCCTCCACCTTGACGATGACAAGATCCTCCTCAGGAGCTTGGTCTGGTGGAGATGGGGCTGAAGGCTTTCTTGATTCTGTAGCCATTTAGGGGGAGAAGAGTTCCTTTCCACTACTTTTGTAAGAACCTTCTGGAGGCTTCAAAGGTATTTTCCAGAAGAAAAAATGACAATGTTAAAGCAAGAAAAAAGTCAGAGTAACTAAGACACCTTAACAAGCAACCCCTTCCCCACCATGACATGGAGTTCATCTGAGCTGTTTAAATGATCCTCTTCACTGTCCAGAAATAGGTGGTCACCCCTTTAATCTTCTGTCATTCCAACAGTGCCAAGTAACCCCACAAGTAACCCCTGCCTGCTTTCTGACTAGGGATAGAGACGAGTTAGCAATTCATGGAGGCTAGGGTTAGCTGAAATTCTGTGCTTAACTTCAGTTCTGCTTATTTAGTTCCTTATAGCACCTGGTATACCACTGTTTCTATATGCCTCAACTTTAAATCTACCTCCTTTTCAACAGAGACTAAATTCTATATAATCTGGCTCCAAGTATCGGCAAGAACTTTCCTATTACTTTCCTCTTCTCTACCTTAACATTCAATATCCTTTTTGTGCTCTCCATCTTTCCTCCTATTTCAAGTCTAACTTCTACTCTGGATTGGAGCAATGGATCTCCAAAGAACCCGGATTCCATATAAACATTTACAATGCAAACATCTCTTCCAGCATGTTCTATAGATATAGTAGTCTTTGGACGCTAGCATCTTTCACTTAGCACATTACATCTGACATTAATCAATGCTGTATGTATAAGTAATTTGCTCCTTACACAAATGTATGTTTATCCATTCCCCACCAGTTGAGATACTTTGACTTGTTTTAGAAATTACATAAACAAACATGTGTATATGAGTTTTTGCGTAAACAACTGTTTCCATTTGGGTAAAATATAGAAGCAAAATTATTAGTTTTTAAAGTGCACGTGCACTTTATAACTTTAAAGTGCACGTGCACTTTTATAACTATTTAACTTTAAAAGAAACTTTCAAACTGTCTTTCCAAGTGGCTATAATATTTTGCATTCAGCAGAGAGGAATGTGCATTGCTTCCCTATCCTCATCAATACTTGACACTTTTTTGACTTTACAAGTGTATAGTAGTAGTATCTCATAGGTTTAATTTATGTTTCCTTACTATGTTAAATAGCTTTTAAGTGTGGTATTTTCTGTTTGTTGTTTTGTCATTTAGTTATTTGAGACACTGTTTTACTACAGGCTCCAGGCTAGCCTCAAGCTGGCAACCCTGCCTCAGCCTCCCAAATGCTGGGATTATAGGTGTGTGTGCCACTATGCCCTGGGTTTATTTCAGTTTTTCCCCTTTAAGTTTTGAGACTTCCTTATATATTCTTAGTACAAGTTCTCCATGAGGTGTATGATTTACAAATATTTATTTCCTTTCATTCAAAAGTGGCAACACAAATCAGATACTTTTACCTAAGTCCCTCTTTCACAGAAAAAAAAAAAAGGTAATAATATACAGTTCCTGACATGTGTCTTTAAAGAAATACCCTTTATCTTTTGGGTATTACTTTTTTGGAAGAGGGTTGGTTTATAAACTTTTAACCTAATGAAAACAGATTCTTCTCAGAAAAATGCCCAAAGATAGAAAAAGTTTTACATTCAATTGTAAAAGAGTTTATACATTTGATACTTGCTCAAAAATGTTAGGAAGGTTTTAAAAAATCCCTATTTAGAGAAGATGAAGAGAAAAGTGAGGGTATTTGAACATTTTCTTCAAGGGTAATAGTATGTAGAGCAAAAAGGGCAAGCTACAAGTTGGAAGAACCAAGGAACAAGAGATAAAGTTAAATATGGCTATTTAAATCAGAGGCCTAATTTGTGCAGTTTGACAAAATAATGAGATTTGGGGGTGAATTTAAGCCAGATGCCAAGATTCTGAGGTGGGGGGTACTTGAGAATGTGCTTCTATATAGTTACAGTCTTACAATGTTTTCTTATAAATTTTTCTAAAGTTAAGGTTCATTTCTAAGTACTGAAAAGCTGGCCATCTTACAATCATTGTCAACAGTAGTTGTCAAATATTTCAAAATGAAATGTATACCCCCTCAAGAACATTATATTGTTAATGTGGTATCAAAAGTCTCTCACTAGTGACACTGATGAAAATTACTTAATTGTCTTGTTTGTTCCCATTTTACACCAAATCATCTAACAGTTGTTGTGTTTTCCTCAGCTTGGATTTATTTTTCTACATAGCCATGTATATATGTAGGACAGGATAGCCTCAAACTGGCGATCCTCTTGCCTCAACCTCTAAGTTCTATGAGTATTCTGCACCACCATCCCTGACCCTTTCCTTCTTTTCAGTGGCTAATACTACATTTTTTTAGTCCTTCTTTTAGTCCATTCTTTAATCCTTCCTTCTCCCATCAGCACATTTTTGAGAAAAAAAAAGCCTAGAACCAAGTACAAAGTTAGTTCACTATGTATCTTCCTCTTTAATAACTTTGTGTGTACATATTTGCATTAACTTGGTAAGCATCTGTGTATAAAGACTACTTGTTACACATTTTCCTTCAAGAATAAGTCATGTTTATTGATTTATAAACTTAAAAGAGATCATTTTAGTGCTTCTTCTGGATCTTAAAATAACTCAACAGCAGAATTTTTTTCAACAGATGTAAAAGGAAGGAATTCTCAGTCTAAGTCTGAGAAATGTTTGGGGGAAAAAAATCCAGGCCTTAAAAATGAAGGAATGGTAGATGAAGCAAATATTATGTTTTGTAGTTATCTCCAGATGCACTAGCTGAATCCATCATCCATCACATTTTACATTTTCAATAGCAATTTAGAATGTGTGCATTTGGTAATAATGATGTTTACATACAAATACTCTGGGCAAACTAATCAAACTGCAAATACGTTTTGAGAGATGGGGATGCCAAATTACTCAATGGATGTCTCTCCCAAATAGTTCTAAGTTGTTTTTTTCCGGTGCAAAGTATTCCCTAAGTGCCCTGAAATCGATTGTTAGTACCCTGAAATTAAATCTCCCTTTATCCTGAAACTTTGAAAATGTTTCTTCCGTACAAGTATCCATTCAACACTGCCATTTTCCAAATAGACTAAAAAGAGCAGAATAACTTCAACAACAACAATTAAAAAAAAAAAAGAGGGATGGCGGGGGGATTTAATGGATAACTGTAGTTCGGAAGCAAAACATATCTTTAAAAACAAATAGGGATTATACTGAGCTCGAAATGCAACACACACACACACACACACACACACACACACACACACACACGCACACATGCACACACACACATTCAGACCATGGAAAGAGCTGGACAAAAGATAGCGTGAGGGCAGTTCCCTAACACCACGAATAAGATCGACTGCAAAACAACAGCAGAAAACGATTGGCTATGGAGAAAGCGAATCCCATAAAGGATCCTCTCGTAAAAAGTTTGGGGACACAGACTCCGCCTGCGACGGCAGCTAGGGCGGACCCACGGCGCGATCGCGGACCTCGGGGGAGCGGACCCCGCCACAGGCCTGTCCGCAGCTGCGGCCTGATCCGGCCACAAAGCGACCCTCTTCCTCCAGCCCGGAGTCCGGTCGTACTCACCGCGAGTCCCAGGGGCCGCAGGGGATGGGAAAGGCCGTCTGCCGAGGGTGAACAGATCCCGCGGGAGCGCGGGGCTGGGAGGACCGCGCGCAAGACGGCACTTGGACCAGGGGCCCCCCAGCCACTAAGTTCCAAACCCACAGAGGTACAGCACCGGCCAGCACGCATTTTGCCCCAAAGGCACTTCCGGAAGCTCTCTAGGAATCCAGGAGGTCTGAGAGCTCTATGGTTGGCCGAAGAAAGGGACGCTGGCACCAAACTCCTTTCGGGCACAACTGGGTGCCAGGCAGTGTGGCTGTCCCGGGCCTTGAACATCGAAGGAATAAGAAGATCTTCGCGCCTCTGACTAGTGTTGGACTGGCGTAGGCAGGCAAGGGTAACGCCCTCTCCTTCCAGGATAGATCTGCAAGTGTGCAGAGGCCCAAGCTGGAACTGGTACAATGTATCCAGGTTTCCATTATTGACTGAAAATTTAAGAAATTTCTGCTAATCGTAATTTATAGGTCTGTGAATGCCCTATGGCACTTAGGAACTGTACACCTTACACTATACATTGTTGAAAAAGTAATTGAACATACATTCTTTGTGTCTACATATTTCACAGGCTTTACGTATTTCAATCGTAGAAAACTTCCTTTCCCACTTTTATTTTTGCCGGTCCTGGGAACAGTCCCTTAGCTTTTTTTTTTTTTGCTCAAGGCTAGCCTGGCAGTCTTCCACTTGAACAACAGCTCCACTTGCAGCTTTTCAGTGGTTAATTGAAGATAAACATTTCACACTTCCCTGCTCCAGATGGCTTCAAATTGGGATACTCAGATCTCAGCCTCTATAGTTAGGATTACCAGTGCCCATCACCGCTTATTTAAAAACAAAAATACATTTATAAGCTTCTAATCCTAATGTTAAGTTACACTTGCAGGATCCTAATGTTAAGACCATAAAATCCAGGAAACAAGTTTATGTTCATTCTTTATATACTTGTATAAAGATTTTTTAACTTTTCAGAGTATATAGGAATGGCAGGAGTCAGAGTAGTTGCAGGAAGTGTCATTGTTGTTTTGGTCCTATGATTTTATTTCTCTGTAACCTTTCCCAATCACTTAAAAAAAATGTTGGTGTCCCTCAAAACTTCACCTTACTTTCTTTATCAGCTCTTGCAGGCAGTAACCTTCAGTGTTTTTAGCTCTCCCTAATTTCTACCCCTCCCTCATTTTTGTCCACCCATCGGGATCAGATATTAGTCTTAATTTGCTTTAAAGGGTTTGCCATCTAATCATCACAACAAAACAAGCAAACAATAGTACAACCCAGGAAGTTAGTTCAATGTTTCTGGACCTTGTGACCAAAACACTTATTTTGAATTAATTTTTAGTGCGCTTAGTTTTTCTTTTTCTTTCATATCTCTTACCTTCCACTTGGGTTAAAATGGGTTGGTAACTAGTGACAATATGGGAGAGGAAAACAAACAAACAAACAACAAACCAAAGAGATTGGAGCCAGTGCAGTGGCTCATAGATATATTCCTAACTACTTGGGAATCTTGAGATTGGGAGGTTCACAATTCCAGGCCAGCTCAGATAGAAAAGTTCATAAGACCCATCTCAGTGGGAAAGGCTCAGTGTATTGATGCACCAGTTATCTCAACTACATCGAGATGCATAAATAGAATGGTGGCTCAGGCCAACTAAGGCAAAACAAAACAAAACAAACCAAAAACCCAGGGGTAAAAAGGGTTTGAAACTTGGCTGAATCAGTAGAGTACCTGCCTAGCAAGCTAGAGTAGAGTTCTAGTATGTCACCAGTGAAGTTTTGAGGGGCACCAAAAAACGTTAAAGCAAAAATAAGATGACTCTGGACTCTGGACCTTTGCAATAGAACAAGAAAAGGGAAAAATAAAGATGGACAGCAATACTTAGGAATAAACTATAGTGAAGTTCTTTCCCCGGAGAAAGTGTTTTTCGCTTTTGGAAATTGTAGAGGTCCCCAGCTTGTCTGTGGTCTCTTGCTCACTCACTTTAAAAGGAAGTACTGCCTGTTATATAAACAACATAGAACGTTATAATTTCCAAATTGCTGAAATGCTTGATGAAATATTGGAATAAAAGAGACCAGCAGAATCAGCAGCGTTCTTTGAAATTGTTCATTTCCACTATCATACCCATCATCCTAGGTTCTAATTACCTCATACCTGTGATGTGAATTGCTAAGAGCCTATCTCTAAGTATCTTAGATATGGTTATACACATGTAGATTCTGCTGCCAAAGTTTTTTTAATGATGGCTGAAGCTTTGCTCAGATTTATAAGGTCTCTACTTGCACCTTTTCAGTAGAATTTATTTGCTAAATGAATTCTCTGATGTCTAATAAGAGCTGAACTTACACGGAAGGGCCTCCCACATTCATCACACTCATAGGGTTTTTCACCTGTGTGGATTCTTTGGTGCTGAATAAGACCTGTGCGCCCACTGAACTCTTTCCCACATTCTTTACACTTATAGGGTTTCACACCAGTGTGTACTCTATGGTGTCCAATGAGATGTGAACGTTGAATGAAAGCTTTTCCACATTCATCACATTTATAGGGCTTTTCACCAGTGTGAGTTCTCCTGTGTTTAGTAAGGTCTGAGCTATGACTGAAACTTTTTCCACATTCATCACAGTTATATCGTCTTCTTTGCTTCTGTTGCCATTCTAATCTCCCCTCATTTTTCATTGAATCTTTGGATTCAGGATAATAAGGAATAGCTTTGGTAAGTCTGTTGTTTATCTTCTCAAGGAATTCCATATCTTTGGGCATATCTTCATGTGATGATACTTCTTCCTCAATCCTAGTTTTACTACCTGTAACAAACAGTACATAAATAAGTCATTCTATATTTGTGAAGCAAAAGAAAGAACATATAAATAGTATAAATGTATTATAAAACAAGCTGGGTGACGGTGACTCATACCTGTAATCCTAGTCAGGAGGCCAAGATCTGAGAATAGTGGTTGGAAGCCAGCCCAGGCAATAAAGTCCCTGAAATTCTTATCTCCACTTTAATTGCCAGCCACTGCTGTGGCTCAAAGTGGTAGAGTGCAAGTCTTGAGCAAAATAGCTCAGGAACAGTGCCCAGGCCCTGAGTTCAAGCCCCACAACCATCAAAAAGAAGTATTACAAAATAATGAGAAGTCATAACACATATATCATAATTTGGTACCATCATAAGTGAGGATAACAGAGCAGTAGGATAGATTATTGAGAAAATTTTTGAGGGAAAAATAAAATCTGTGTAATAAGGAAGGATTTGTTCTTCTAGAATGAATGCCATCAACAGATGCAGCCCCTAGACCTTTGGCTACAGCAGAACTAGAAGCCAAAATAAACTTAACATACGCAACCTGTGGTACTGTATTATTAGCAACACATGGTCACAAAACTCCTGTTCCTTACCACTGTCAGATTCATGTTTCACTGGAGTCTTCTTTGAATGAGGCTGGTTATTCAGTGACTCATATGGCTTTTCCAAGGCAACCAATTTGTCCATGAACGTGTCCTTGCTTTCTGAATCGTCTGCAATCTGAGAAACAGGTGGTATAATTGAGTATGTCAGATTTTGTGGGAACTGAAAAAACTTTAGATAAAAGATTCATAGAAGCCCCTGCATAGAAAAGGTGACAGATTTTGATTCAATTTTATATTGCAATGATTAGAAGAAAGCTTAATCTATATAGTTCAGGACTTTGGTCCCTTTTCCCAGTGATCTTATAGGGGTATAGGATCATCGACTTGGGATTTGGACAGTACTTGAGAAATCATCTGACCTAGCAAAGGGAGATTTTTATCCAATATGGTAGCTATAGAAAAATATTATTACTTAAAATGTAGCTGGTATGAACTGGAGTAAGCTAAGTGTAAAATACATAAGAAATTTTGAAAACATTAAAAATATGTCATGTTAAGTACTGATTACATAATTACATATTTTAGATTAAATAAAATTTATTTCATTTAAATAAAATGATTAGAAAAATCCTGGACGAGGGCTGAGAAGGTAGCTCAGTGGTAGAGCGCTTGCCTTGCAAGCATGAGGCCGTGGGTTCGATTCCTCAGCACCACATAAGCAAAAAGAAAAAAGCCGGAAGTGGCGCTGTGGCTCAAGTGGTAGAGCGCTAGCCTTGAGCTGAAGAGCTGAGGGACAATGCCCAGGCCCAGAGTTCAGGCCCCACGACCGGACCCAAAAAAAAAAAGAAAAAGAAAAATCCTGGACGACTAGAAAATTTACAAATATAGCACACACATGCACTATATATATGTACATATATATATATATTTTAAAATTTTTGGATGGTGCTGTGTATAATGTCTTGGACATCTACTTGAATCCTCATGAATACATTTATGGAAGGCAAATACTTAATGCCTAATCTAATTTATTTGGATTAGTAATGCAGTAATCCAATTTATTCATAGTCATATTAGGAAAGTTTTCATTTTCCTCAGGTATCTATTTGCTTTCCTAAAATTTCCTACTGATGCTACTCTGTCTAGAATCAGTCTGTTCCCTAGTGTGTCTTGTATTCACAAAGCCACATTTTAGCTATTTGGTATGGACAGTCATATCTCTCCCTAAACCTTGTTTTTCTTAAGGTTATACATATTGAATATCTTCAGTTATTTCTTTTACATGCCTTTTGTTTTGTTTTGGTCCACACACCCTAATCATTCCCAGCCAACCATCACCCCATCACACCTGCTTTCCCGACTCAAGCTCTCTTTCCAGATCCTCCAGCACCGTCACTGCTTCCTCTCCAGACTCTGGATGGTGGACCTGCACCCATGCTTGCAGGTCCCTAGGCAGAATGCTCAGGAATTGTTCCAGCACCAGCAGGTCTAAAATCTGCTCCTTGGTGTGGCATTCTGGCCTCAGCCACTGGCTGCAAAGCTCCCTGAGCTGAGTAAGAACTTCCCGGGGTCCAGATGCATCTTGATAGCAGAGCTTCCTGAAGTGCTGCCGGAAGAGTTCCCTCCTATAAGGACTGTACTTCTGTGACACCGAGTCCTGTCCCCAGTGACAGTTCTCTGCATTCACTTTCAAAAGTCCTTTTTGTCCTTCAGGTTCCACAGCTACAGCCATTCTGGGTTTTTCAGATGAATCCTCCCTTTGGGATCTTGGCCTTAAAGACACTCCTAAGGCATAGAAAGGTTACATACAGAAAGGACGAAGTCTGTTGCAATGATAAGAAACACACTAATAAAGTCAAGCCACTAGAACTGAGTCTCAGAAAACTAGTCTCATGCGAGGCTGTAAAAAAGAACAGTGGGACAGGGACATGATTTGAATCTGTGTTCTGCTGTAGCATGTAGAAGTTACTTTTCTAGACTAGAATGCAGATCTTCATGTATCTCACTGGGTGGAGGTACAGATCAAATGACAAAAGGTCTGCAGGGTACCTGGCTTGTCCAAAGTAAGTACTGCACTGAACAAACTACTATTCACTTCGTTAAAAGGCTCTTCAGCATTCTCCATGCCGAGATGCACAGGTCCCCTTCCGCCCGGGCTTTTCAGGAGGGTCGGCCCAAATCATTCTCTTTTGTAGATCTGTCGCCCTGGGGGTCAGCACTGGAGCCTACACAGCCCACGACAGGAGGGTGTGGGGAATGCAGCTGCTGACCACAGTTGTGCTTTGTTCCCTCCTTTGCTCCATTTGGGAGGAGGGGGGTCCGAGAAACACTCACCTCACACGTCGAGAGGCACAGGTCCCCACAGCAGCCCTGAACAAAAGGCTCGACTCAAGGAGACCAATTGGCGCCTAGCGTGGCCTCGCTGGCACTTCCGGGCCGCTCTAGGAACCCGAGCCTCGATGGCAGCCCCACAGCTTCTTGCAGCGCTCCCCCTTGGAGGACCAAATTACTGACCCTTTAACAAAATCTTCCACCCGTCTCGAGATTTTTTTTTGTTATTATAAAACAAGTAATTTAACCAAGTAATGCATTTGCATAAGCTTATTAAAAAGAAACGACCCCACGTGTCCAGTTTTGACAAATTCAACTGTTCATCTTAACAGATCCTTCCATAGATTTATTGCACAAATATGTATTATCTTCGTTTTGTTCCTGCGACACAAACTGCTGCGTTTCATCACTTTGCCTCTTTTCCCTCCTACCAACTCATCTTGTACATAAAGGATGTCCTGGATCTTGCTAAAACAGAACAACTGCACAGTATTCAGTTGTCTATATGTGCCACAATTTAAGAACTACCCCCAGTAATGTTGCTACCATTGCAAAAATCGGTCAACCTACATCACATGTGTAAGGATATATTAGTCCATATTAGAATTACTCGATTGTAAAGTGAGGACATTTGACTTCCGATAGTATCAAATCGTCAATCTTGAAAGCCATTGGCTATGCTCTTGTCTACCTATACTGTCAACACAGTGCTATATTTTGATAGTCATTAATATGATGAATGAAAAATATTGTCTTGACTGTGTCCACAATTCATTTGTGAGGTCCTCCATGAGCAATCTATTCATGTTGCATCATTTCAATCTCACCCCAAACTCCCTATTTCCTTTATTTTCTCCTTAGCATTTGAGCAAATGTTGAAGGACCTAAAGGAATGGGCCATTAGGAATAAAAATGTTTCAGGAAAACGGAGAACAAACGCAAAAGTCAAGAGTGGAGTTTGTTTGCAGTTTATAGCATTTTATGTCAAGTAAGCAAATATGACATAGATGATATATCTAGAAAAGGCACATTTTCAGAACTGTAGGGGACAGTATATACCCAGTTAATAAAACACAAGTTCCAAATCAAGTCATAAGGACACAGGCTTCCAATGCAGATGTAATCTTTTATAGGTAATTCTATTCTGACTCAATAACTATATAGGTTTTTAAATGATGGATAACAGTCTAGGCATTCTTTGTAGGTGAGTACAAAGATCTACATAGATACAGACTTCAATTTAAATCCTGTTCTTTTCCACAAGAGAATGAAGACAGGAAATAGTAAATGCATATAGTATAAGTAAGTATAAAACATTAGGATGAAAATGACTATGTATGTCCCTCCCCCACGGTATAACCCCTATTTTCACTGTATTTGATGTTGGTATAATTTGGGGAGGGGAAGGGAAAAACAAATTGTTTAAACAGGGATACAGGTGGACCCATTGCAACAATGAAATGTACAAGATGCTATGTCCAAAAAACGAATTTTACAACTTTGGCGGAAGCGGGGGAGGGGTGGTGGTGTAGTCATGGAGATGGGAGGGCAGGGATGGTAAGGGAAAAACAAAAGAGGAGACAACAATGCTTGATAAGAAATGTACTCATTACCTTGCTCATGTAATTGTAACCCCTCTGTATGGTATTTTCACAATAAAAAACTTATTAATAATAAAAAAGAAAATGACAATCTACCCCTTATTTTACCAATGTCTAATATGGATTCTTCACTACGTGTAGATTAATTTATTCAAATTTCAATGTAGATACCATGCTCCTTCTTTCCTACATGTCTTCTAAGATTTTGAGTGTTCTCATTGGTGCCATGTAAAGTCTCAACCATGTTCAAGACATAACCATTTTATGTGTTGTCATTTTCTTACAGCTCAATTTGACCACTGACATGTTCACCAGTATCTTCTTTTTGATCTTACATTACACTTACCATTTATTTGAACTGTTCACAAAATAATGACATTATTCCTTACTGTTTCTCATGCACAACACTATAATTACCTATACTTACTGACTCTAAGAGGAGGAGAGTAATGTAAAACATTCTATTTTGTGCTCTTGGTGGTATACATGAATGTAAATCTGGACTGTGGGAGTTGTTTTCATGATACACTTTATTGATAATCTTATATTTCATTGTGGCTTTTCAGGGACTCGAAGAGTATCTATTTACATCAGAAAAATGCCAGAACGGATAAGCTGTGATTATATTACTTTGCTATTGACAATTCAAATAATGATCTCACTAGGGTTTCTCTTTTGTTGAACTCCTTTCAGACCAGGTAAGTCATTGGGAAAAGATTTTTCTCTGGCCCAGAGTTTTTCTTAAGGCTCCCTTCAGCTCGTTGTTCCTTAGGCTATAAATGAAGGGATTTAGCACAGGGGCTACAATCATGAAAATTACTGATGCAGCTGAGTCTCTTTCAGTTGAATGGTTGGATGAAGGGCTCATATAGACTCCTGTGATTGCTCCATAGAAAAGAACAACCAAGGTGAGGTGGGATCCACAGGTGGAGAAGGCCTTGAGTTTTCCTTGGGCAGAAGGTATTTTCATCACAGCAGAGACAATTCGACCGTAAGATACCAGGATACACACTGAAGGAACTACAAAAATCAGCCCCACCACAGCTAGAACCATCAGCTGATTAAGGCTGGTATCTGAACAGGAGAGAAGGAGGAGAGAATTGACATCACAAAAGAAGTGGTGGATGATATTGTCAGAACAGAAGTGCAGAGAGGCCATCATGAGAGTATGTAAGAGAGGGTTCAAAGTGGCAATGACCCAAGATACAGCCACCAGAGAGGCACAGAGACGCTGTGTCATAATGGTGAAGTAATGCAAAGGATGACAGATGGCCACATAACGGTCATAGGCCATCACTGTGAGAAGAAAGTTGTCCATGTTGGCAAACATCATACAGAAATACATCTGAGTAAGGCATCCAGAATAGGAGATCGATTGAGTCTGGGTTTGAATGTTCAGAAGCATTTTGGGGACTGTAGCTGAAGGAAGACAGAGGTCTACCAAGGACAGATTGGCAAGGAAAAAATACATGGGTGTGTGAAGGTGAGGAGTTGAGCCAATGGCCAGCAAGATGAGCAAGTTTCCAAACAATCCTGTTAAATAGAGACACAAGAAAACTGCAAAGAGTAGTGCCTGATGCCCTGGCCAATTTGAGAAGCCCAGGAGGAGAAATTCAGAGACATTTGTCTGGTTTTCCTTTTCCATTGCTTGCATCTGCGTGAAGACCCAGAGAGTGAAATTAAATTTTTGCTTGGTTAAACAATCCCTTACTAGTTTTGTATGTTCACCCTCATCTTAATTCTATTTACCAACTAGTCTTTCTTGGCCCCCTTACCTTCTTTCTGGTACCCTCTGCCAATACTTACGTATATTCTTCTACCTCATCAGTTGTCTGTACATCTGTCCTTTACTGGAAACTCTACTTACCTTAGATTTCTATAGGATCTGTACTTTTTTTTTTGGTGCCAGTCCTGGGACTTGAACTGAGGGCCTTGGTACTCTCCCTGAGCTTTATTAGTGCTCTACCACTTGAGCCACAGTTCCACTTCTGAATATTTTGATAGTTAATTGGAGATAATCTCATGGTCTTTCCTGCCTGGGCTGGCTTCCAATCCTTAGATTTCAATCTCTTGAGTAGCTAGGATTATAGGTATGTGCCACTGCCTCCTGCCTATCTTAAATTTTTTTTTTTTACAACATAGATTTGGGGCAAGTTCATGCCCACTAGCATGATTTTTTTCTGATATATTTCCTTTTATTTTCAACTATACTTGTTACTAACCACTCTACACTTTTGAATGATTCTGTTAAAGATCTTATATGATTACTGAAACAATTTATAGTAATGAATAAAGGGATTATTGTAGGAAAAAATTATAGAAGGAGAAAAAATATTTTTAATACTTTTTAGGACCAATAAAGAAGCTATAATATAGACTCCTGGAAATAGATTTATTCAGAATTATGAATGTTTATTGACCTTTTAATTTACACTTAACTGATGATATTGGTGATAAAGTAGATTGAAGATACTTTACCTCATTTTTTTGGGTCAAAATTTTTTAATATTAGTTTATTGTAAAGATGTTGTACAGGGGGTTACAGTTACATGAGTAAGGTAATGAGTACATTTCTTGTCCAGCATTGTTACTCCTGCCTGTGTTTTTCTCCTACTATCCCTTCCTTCTCCCACAATGGGTCAAAATATTTTTACTGTTGGAAATGTAGTAAAACAAGAGAAGCACATGAACCCAAGCTAGTAAACTCTATAACTATGTTACAAAATCATAATTTTTTCACCAAGTGAGGAAAAATATAAAAGGGAAAGTTGCTACTTTCAAGTACTCTATGCCAGACTACATAAATATTTTTCCACTTTCTTAATCTTTACAGCATTTTCATAACGTGTACCATATGTTTTTCTTGTTATGTAGATACTGAGTTTTGGCATAATCCTGGTCTGAAATAAGATTTCTGTTTTTCTTTTTATTGTGATGCTGGAGACTGAACCAGTGGCTCATGCAGGCTAGGCAATATCGTTGAGTCCCACTCCTATCGTCGGATATAAGATTATTTGATTTGGAATCTAGCACACTTTTCACTAAGCAGATGCTGTATCATGGAATTCATCCCTTGAGATAGTTGGCATTCACTGTTTAAATAACAAATTCCATTGTTGGCTATGAGGCACCTACTATATATATTAAGCAATGAACTTGTCTTTTCTAAGACAGGCTTCTTGTTTCTTCTAACCTGTTCTTTTCCCATTGTACTTACCAGGGGCTCATAGCAGGACTTCCTGGGCAGAAAATTTAGCTTCTAAGTCTTCTAAGTCAGAGGTAATGGGAAATATAAACCTTGGGATAAATTTTCCCTTTCCCCAGAATGTTTAAGATTGAGAAAAGGGTTGATTCTGAAGCAGGTTATATAACCCTGTGCAGTGAGAATAAAGAGTGACCAAAGCATTAAAATGTATAGCTTCTTTGTAGCCCTGTAGAACCCCTAGGGACCCCGATCTTGACAAGCTCCCTGAACTCTCACAATAATTGCCTTATTCTCCTGGTGGATTTCCCATCTGCATTAGCCTACTATAGGGATACAGACACTTCTCTAGGGATAGTTAAGGAACTAAAAAATCTGAAGATTGTTCATAGGCTTTTCTCATTCTCTGCTCCCCAAGAAGATCCCAAATATAAAACATATATACCTGTGACACCAGTAACAACTGTTTCCAATTTGAATTAGGAAAAGATTTCTAAGAAAGAAATCATTCTAAGTAGGAATGACCAATTCTGTAAATGGCAGTTCCCTTTCTGAAGCACTCTTAATAATACCATTATTGAACTTACAAATATCTGACCTGTTAGTGTTGTCTGAGATCAAAGTACCCATTTTGTGGGAAAGGAGGTGAGATCATAGACTTTTGGCCAAGACTTGCTGATTTTATATGTTATCTTCAGTGGAAGCACTGAGGTTAAGATAACATTCTTACATGGAATAGATAATACTCTTCTTCAAATACTTCCATGGTCTATTTTGGGTTATATTTGTTCTGGAAAATTCTAATATGGTTTAATTTTTTTTTTTTCCTTTTGTGTGTGTGTGCTAGTCCCGGGGCTTGAACTAAGGACCTAGGCACTGTCCCTGGGCATATTTTTGCTCAAGTCCAGTGCTATAACACAGCTCCACTTCTGGTGGTTAATTGGAGATAAGAATCTTGCAGTCTTTTGCCTGAGTTGGCTTTGATCCATGATCCTCAGATCTCAGCCTACTGAGTAGCTAGGATTACAGGCATGAGCCACCCGCACCCTGTTTTGAAACTTTTATGTATGTGCGCACACAGAACATAAAGTATGTGGATAATTTTGTCTAGATCAATCTTTTAACTCTTTGCTGAAGAAGAATATCAGTAATGGGAAATTACCAGCTTATAAGTTATATAATTCCAATGTTTTCGAAGTAAATACAGAATATGCACACATAAATGTTGTATCACAGTTTATTCAGGTAAGCTGCTTTGAAAAAATCCCAGCTTTCCCAGGATGGTAGAAGTAGCTGAAATTAATAGAACCCTGCACCATTAAAATATTCCAAGAGACAAATTACCCTTTTTATTGTCACAATAGGTGTACAGAGAAAGAAATGTAGGGCCTTATTTCAGGTCCTGGATCATAAGCAGAGTCTATATTTGTAGATCGGATGTTGTTGGGACATTTCCATTTAGTAATGGTACAGAGATTTTTTATTAAAACAATTTTGTATCAAACAGTAGCAAAAACATGAATTCAGGAAAGAATGAATACAGGAGCATGACATAAATGAGTGAGATCTCTTTTTAAATAATTGTCTTTATTTTTAAGTGATTTTCTGGCATGTATAAAGCTGTCAGTCATGGCATTGAGAGGATGACTCATCTTGTAAAGTTATACAGCCTTATTTGAAGGCCTTGCTTCCAATGTAAGCGCCAAAGACTATAGTGCCAAGCCACGTGTCTCTGAGCCAAGCTCACTCAAGTGTGACATATTCTCCTTAAGAGAGAAAACATGGCACTTACGATCAGTTCATAAGCATTCTCTCCTATTTCTTCCCCCCCCTCCTATTTCTTATTTTCATCTGCATAACACTTCTCAAATACATGGCTTTATGTCTTTTTTTTTTATCAGTCATGGGGCTTGAACTCTGGGCCTGGGTACTGTCCCTGAGCTCTTTAGTTCAAGGCAAGAGATCTACAACCTGAGCCAAAGCCACTTCTGATTTTCTGGTGGTTTATTGGAGATAAGAATCTCATGGACTTTCCTGCTCAGGCTAGCTTTGAACCATTATCCTCAGATCTCAGTCTCCTGAGTAGCTAGGATTACAGGTGTGAGCCATCGGCTATGTCTTTTAAAAATAGGATTTAGCTCAGGTTTTCAAGTCCTTATAGTGGGAATATTGGTTTGCTATAATCTGGCGCATCTTCCCTATAAGTAGAAGCCACATAAGACTACTTTGAATGAAATAAACCAAGTCCATAAGATGCAAGAAAAGCTTATTTTTCTTTTCTTTCTTTCTTTCTTTCTTTCTTCCTTTCTTTCTTTCTTTCTTTCTTTCTTTCTTTCTTTCTTTCTTTCTTTCTTTCTTTCTTTCTTCCTTTCTTTCTTTCTTTCTTTCTTTCTCTCTTTCTTTGTCTTTCTTTCTTTCTTTCTTTCTTTCTTTCTTTCTTTCTTTCTTTCTTTCTTTCTTTCTTTCTTTCTTTCTTTCTTTCTTTCTTTCTGTCTTTCTCTCTTTCTCTCTCCTTCCTTCCTTCCTTCCTTCCTTTCTTCCTTCCTTCCTTTGGAGCCTGAACTGTGGGTCTGGGCGCTGTCCCTCAGTTCTTTCAGCTCCAGGCTAGTACTCTACCACTAGAGCCACAGCACCACTTCTGGCTTTTTCTGCTTTATGTGGTGCTGAGGAATTGAGCCAAGGGCCTCATGCATGCAAGTCAAGCATTCTACCACTGAGCCACCTTGCCAGCCCAAGAAAGGCTTATTTTTCTGAAAAGGAAAACGTGCCTAGGTGGGTATTTACAGTTTCACTTTTTGCAGTTTTCATTACCATTGTCTGAAAATATTAAATGGGAAATTCCTGGAATAAACAATCTACAAGTTTTAAACCTGATGCTCCTCTCAGTAACAATGACATTGCTCACTGTCCTGTGTTTTCCTGCCTCACACACAAATCACTTTGTCCAACATATGCATATAGTATATGCTTCCATCCATTAGTCACTGAGCAGCCCTATTAGTGATTGGATCATTGTCACTATATTGCAGTGCTTGTGTTCAAATAACTATTTTTACTTACCAATGGACCCAAAGCATGAAGCATTTATGGTAGAAAAACCACATATGGTTTTTATAACTGAAAAAAAAGTAGTTCAAGACTTAATTAAATATACTGAAATATACAATAAGGATGAATATTCTATCTGTGAAATTGGGGAGAAGACAGTGAGATTGGTGCTGATTTGACTATGTTATCTCTAATCACCAGAGTTACAGATACAGTGCATGATAAGAGCTTAAAGAAGGAAAATATGTTATGAATACAAGATACAAACAGAAAAGACAATTCTATTTATAACAATGTGAAGTTCCTGAAAGCTCCTAGGTGAGGATTTTGGTGGGGAATCCCCTAAAATGTGTGACACCAAGCCATTTCTTTATTGCAAGTGAGGGATGGTTGTATAGATTCAAGGATAAATTTGGACTAAA